TTAAAGGCTATGCAGCAAATATTTCCATGTCAACATTCAAACTTTCACTTGTCCTTAATACATTTCCTCCCATAGGAAATTCACTGGATTCTAGTGAATTCAATCCACATTTATGAGACGTACTTTGCACCCTCTTTTTAAGAAAAAAAGAGAAATCTGGAAAAATAAACAAATATTTGACATTTAGTTTTTAAAAAGCAGACAAATGACTTTTTGGATTCACATAGAAAATAAATAGCACCAGTTTCCAAATAACCTCCAGCTATCCGGTGGCCTGGGAAGAATGATAATTGGGAGACACTTCCTAAGACAGAGATTTGGGTTGGACAGGCACAAAAGGGACTGAAGGACAAAGGCCAAGGAAGGGGACCCAGATTTTAAAATAAATATCCCCCCAATTAAAAATGGCAAAGGATTTGAATAGACATTTCTCCAAAGAAGATATAAATATGGTTAAAATACACAACACCATTAGGGACATGCAAATCAAAACCACAGTGAGATACCACTTCACATCCACTAGGATGGCTATAATAAAAAGATGTTGGCAAGGATGTGGAGAGATCGGAAACTTCATATGTTTCTGGGAATGTAAAATGGTGCAGCCACTTTGGAAAATGGTTTGGCAGTTCCTCAAAAAGTTAAACATAGAGTTACCTTATGAACCAACAATTCCACCCCTAGGTATATGCCCAAGAGAACCGAATGCATATTTCTTTGCAAAAAATTGTACATAAGTGTTTATAGCAGTATTATTCAAGATAGTCCAAATGTCCATCAAGTGATGAATAAATAAAATGTGTATACCATAGCATACTATTCAATCATTAAAAGAAATGAATTTCTGATAGATGCTCTAACAGGGATGAACCTTGCAAATTTTATACTAATTGAAAAAGCCGGACATAAAAGGCCATATATAAATCAAATCATACAAAATGTTCAGAATCAACAAATCCACAGAGGCAGAGATAGATTAAAGGTTTCCAATGGTTGGGAAGACGAGGTGGGGGAAAGAGGGAATGGGAAGTGATTGCTATTGAGTTTGGGGTTTCTTTTTCAGGAGATAAAAATGTGCTGAAATTAGAGCAGTGATTGATCTTTACTGAAACCCACAGAAATGTGTATTTTAAAAGAATGAATTTTATTGCAAGTAGAAATGTAACTTAATAAAATTGCTATTGAAAATATATGCAGAATGCTCAAAGAGATAATTGGACTATGTATGCACGCCAGGGCAAGAATGGCTCCTGAGTTCTCTCTTGTGGGCCAAAAGAGGCTTTTGGTACTCCTGGGATTCAAGGTGGGCCTAGCCTTCTCACTTGTGTTCTGGAACTTAATATTTGGTGACTGATCTACTTTCATCCCACACTAGCTGTTTTGTGTGTGGGGTTGGTGCCATCAGTGAAAGGCAAAGTGGCTCCTGTGGTGTCTAGACTTGCTATTAAGTGTTGCTGACTCCGGAGGAGCCTAAAAATGCTGTATCTTTGAGTTATTATTTAGGTATCTATTGATTATTTTTTGTGGGGCGCGGTTATGGTGTTTTGGCCAGGTTTAAGCCTCGGACTAATGAAAGGACAGGGTCCTCTCATTGCCACGTGCAAGTCCCAGCTGGAGGGCCGGGCCCTCCCAGCACAATTATAGCCAACGGCTGTGGTTGTAAGCTTGAACCTATGGTCCAAACACGTAGGCCCACGTGCCTTGTGATAGAGTTCGGGTGCATGTAGTTAAGTGAGGTTGAAACTCACGAGAATGCTGTAAACAACGTGATCACGCCCCTACTTTTCCTCGTGGCATCTGCTATAAAATAAAGACACGGCTTGTGGGTGCTGTCGTTGTCTCCTCATCAGGGAGGCAGCGTCCCACTGAGACCCAGCTTTCATTCTCTTGTCTGTCTTTCCTTAATCCTCTCACCTCCCCCCCCACTCGGGATCACCCTTGTTCGTGCTGGCGTGGCACAATTTTTCTCTACCTCAGCACTTATAGCTAGATGAGCAAATAAATTTATTCACCATTTTTGCCATATTCATTCAATGATCACAGTATGGTGGATTTGGGTATTCAATGGTGAATGAGACATGACACCTGGTATCAGAAGTGTCCATGGAGGATGTATTTAAGTCAGAGGGCCATTATAGCAGAGATGGTATACATTTTACATCTGGAAGAAAGTACCAGGTGTTTGGTGCATTGCTTGCATTAATGGTAACCACCCTGTGTTTATATCCTTTCCCTATAATATTATAGTTCCCTTTTATTCTTTACCAGGGCTGGTCTCATGACTTCAATAGAATGTGGTAAAAGTAATGGTGTGCCAGTCCAAGTTTTGACTTCAAGGGGTCTTGAACACTTGCTTGCTCTTCGATCCTGCCTCTGACAAGTGAAAACCCATTGCTAGCCTGCTGGAGGGTGAGAAATCATAAAGTGCAGAGCCAACACAGCTCATTTGTTCCAGCCAAGGCTCCAGAGACTTGAATGGGTCCAGCCAGGACCAGCACCAGCCAACTCAGCTGATTGCAGATGTATAGATCAGCCTAGCCTAGCCCAGATCAGCAGAGTCTGCCACCTACCTATAGAATCACAACCAGTAGAAAATGATTGTTTATAATACAAAGTGTTGGTGGTGTTCATTATATAGCAATAGATAACTAATATAGAATGCAACGGGAACACAGATGAGGGGGAGCTTGGGTGGATCAAAGAAGGCTTCCTAGAAGAAGCAACACATGCTATAAACCTAAAGATTCATCTTTAGGTGTTAGCCAGGGCAAAGAAAGAACCTGAGTGTGTGTGTGTGTGTGTGTGTGTGTGTGTGTGTATGTATGCATTGGGGAGGGATTTAAGGAAAAGAGAAAAAAGAGGAAGTAGTTGAAGAATAGTATTTAAAAAGCCAAGGAGGTGAGATTACCCATAAAGCTGGAGTGTGGTATGTGAGAGAATGACTAAGTTATTTTGGAACCAAATCATGTAAAACTGCAAACATTTACTAAGGGGTTTAGACTATATCCTGAGGATAGTTGGGGTCAATTAAAGGCTTTTAATCCCATTTTTGCTTTTGTATGGTCAGTCTAGCTACAGTGTCGGGGAATGGTTACATGATTTAGCACTAGACTAGAGTCATGGAAACCATTTAGAAGACCCTTGGCAGGTGGCAAGGGATGGGAGCCTGAACTTGGGTACTTGCAAAAGGCACAGAAAGTGAACAGTTCTGAGGACTCCCACAGCATCAGAATTGACTCAGCTTGGGGATCTACTGGAAAGGGGATGAAGGAGAGGCAGCTGTCAAAGATAATGCCAATGTTTTGGCTAGGGCCACTGAATTGGTAATGGTTTTGTTTATGAATGTAGAAAAAAAAGAGGTAGAGCAGGTCTGAGGGTAACTGTAAATGAAGTTTGGTGCACATTGCATGTAGCAGGCCATATTTTCCAAAGACGGTCACGCCAGTATAAAGGGTGGGACAAAGTATGTTTACAGTTGGGAATACGCAAAACAGAGTTTATTCTTGTATTAGTTATTGTATTATTTTCAATAAAAACAACTGTAAACCTACCCCTCCTCCCAACCACCCCCCCCGTATTTCTTCCATCCCTCACCTTCTTCAGAATGTGACCAGCTCTGCTCCAAGTTGAGATGGCATCTATATTTCCTCCCCTTGAATCTGGGAAAGGGCTTGTGCCAGCACCAACGAATGGGCTCAGCATAAGTGACAGTATGCAACTTCGAGGCTTGGTCCTATCAATTTGACACAACTTCTGCCTGGCTCTCTCAGGAGGCTCACCCTTGGCATCCAGTCACCATATTGTGAGAAAGCCCAGGCCACGTCTAGAAGACACACACCGGTGGTGTTCCAGCCCAGAGCCCCAGCTAGTCTGCTGACAGACATACCATCCACCACCACATATGTGAATAAGCTGGTCTCCAGCCCCGAGACTTCCAATCTCCCAGCCGAGGCCCAGACGCGTCATGGAGTAGACGCATGCCATCTCTACTCTACCCTGTCTGAATTCTTGACCCACAAAGAATATGAGAGATAATTCTTATTGCTTCAAACATCTAGGTTTTGTAGTAACATGTAACAGAGCAATAACTAATACATTGCATTTGCGGTGCCTATGAGACATTCTCCTAACGCACACGTATATTTCATTTTCTAAATCAATGTTGCAGACTCTTTCATCTGTTTTATAAGAAAACTTACTTAAGTACTGTGGAGGGCTGGCACGGCCATGGCATACTCAGCCCCAGGGCGCCTTATGTGCTGCGCCAGCTCAGCCAGGTTCGGTGAGCCCGAGTGGGGGCGGTGAAGGATGGAGAAAAGACAGACAAGAGAAGAAAGCTGGGTCTCAGTGGGACGCTGCCCTCTCTGGTGGAGAGAGACAGCACCAGGGACTACTGTGTCTTTATTTTATAGCAGATTCCACGAGGCAAAGTAAGGGCGTGGTCATGATGTTGACAACATTCTCATGGGTTTCGATCCTACTCAATTACATGCACCTGAACTCTATCAAGCCCTCATCACTCAGGCACGTGGGGCCACGTGTTCGGACCATAGGTTCAAGCTTACAACTATAGCTGTTGGCTATAATTGTGCTGGGAGGGCCCTGCCCTCCAAGCTGGGACTTGCACGTGGCCATGAGAGGACTGTGCCCTCTCATTAGTCCGAGGCTTGAACCTGTCCAAACACTGTAGCCGCTCTCCACAAAGTACTCTGTCAGTTCTTGTCACTTCCACTATTTGTCAAAAAACCTTTGACTGTGTTGCCTTCCTTAGCTTTGATCAAAGAAGGGAGGGAGGGAGGACTATTGGAAAAATAGAGAGGGGTGGCAGAAACTTGGAATAATGACAGGTGTGCCCTCTGGTCACAAGCATTGCAGGATCTCGAGTCTGTGCACAGGCACAGATGTGGGCATTACATCCTTGAAGACTGGCATTGTGCCTGCTCCCACCATCCTGCCCATCAAAAGAAGGTTGGTCCTGACACCAAGAAATAACAGCTGGGTTGTGTTAAGAAAGTTTTATTATTTCCTTTGGATTTGTGATGAAAGCACATAAAATTACAAGTGGAAGAAACATCATGCCACAAAATTGCATAGAATTATTACAAAAATGTGAATTATGCTTTTTAAATAATTTGAGATAGGAGAACCAAAATATGTACATTTTAAGAGCTTCAAATACTTTGTCCTTTTTTTTTCTTCTGAAAAGGCAAAGGTCACGATATCTAATCCATCACAAGCAATATTTATACAGTGCCAAGCACAACATTAAATTCAAAGTAATGCAAGCAATGGCCCTTTCTTTCGGAATTATTTAATGACTGCTTAACTATTACAGGAATAGTAATTGATGCATGGTGATATGGAAATGTTAAAGTGAAATGTTAAAAACCAAATCACATGGCATGTCATCAGAACTTTGAAAATGGGTTTACACGGCCAAAACCACGCTATTCTCAGTAGTGTACAGGTACCAGAGGGGCACAGGCTAATTTAATACACAGCTCTACTCTCTATTATAGGAAAAACCACAGTACAGAATTTCACACATTCAACAAAGAACAAGGCAAATACATAAAGGCACAAAACTGCACATCATATAGACCCCTTTTCCTTCCCTTTGTCTATTTCAAGTAATATTAATATTGTTAAATGATAATATCACTGTAGTAATTTCGATGATGCAAGATGGACAGTGTTACACACTACCCCACAACTGCAAAAGTGTCATTGCACAGATATAAAAATGTGGTTACAATCAATGGCCAAATACAAACATATTAGAGTCACTAAGATAATGAAATGCAACTACCAAAAGAGTTTTGTGTAAGTCAAGGTTATTCAACCTTAGTCTATCTCTGGACTAAATGTAATACAATATACGGTAATAATCACTATTGCGTTTGGTTATGAATGCTATTATTAGTTGACGCTTCTGCAATTTTAGACAGTCTGTAATTTTGTTTATAAAAATGCAGCATTCGATTTTGACCATTCTTACTTCCTTATGATCAATGCCTTTCTTTCAAAGTGCAAAAGTAGAATGATGTACAAAAGATATCTCTTTCAATGGAAGTTAAGTTGTATTAAGTGTCTAATTAACACCCCAAATCTTTTCAGATCAAAATACTATCATTTCCAAAGAGGATGGGATTTTCCTCCTTGTGTCTCACTAGATGTGTGTTTTTAATCAAACACTTTTTCCTAATGTTTGAACTAAGCCTTCATTTTGATTAAAACTTAATTGTGATCCTTAGTTATTGCTTAAAGTTAAATAAAGTGATTTCCATAAAAATATTAAATTCTTGAAATAATTTTTAGGACACAACTGGCTTTGTGTTTTAAAATGTTTTGCTAAGCTACAATCAGGCAGGTTTATTTTAAGCTAAAGCTGTGAGCATCTTGCTTCAGGGCTTTAACTTCAATGTTCTTTGTGTTACTCTCTAAACTATGTTTTCCTTTATATAATTAGTCTCTCTTATTTAAGACTTTTCAATAATGTTTTTGATCAGTTTTACCTTGATATGCTTTGTTTTTCTCATGCCACCTAATATAAGAACTTAACAAAAAGACACAGTTAAATGAATTAAATGTATATAATAAATATATAAATGAAGTATTTTTTATGTTATAGTAAAAATGAAATCTCTCAGATTTAATAATTATGGAAGATACTAATACATTCCCATATTTCTGTCATATATATTTTTGTCTATTCTGATTATTCAAACAGGTTTAAAATCCAGTTTTGATCCTGCAAAATATATATCAAATTCACATTCTAAATTCTAAATCTAATTCAACTTGCATCAATAACTCCATCAATTGTTTCTTAAAATATCAATGATTTATCCATGAAATCTAGATGTTTGATCATTTTCATCTCTGTCCACTTATCCCTAAATTTGGTTTTAAGTCTTGTGGAAGAGTTTTGGGTCATTGTCACACATCAACAATCAAATGAATGTGTGTGTGTGAGTGTGTGTGTGTGTAGTGCATGTGTCTGTATTTATATGGCTGAGTGTGTACATATATACATAGAGATAATATATATCATTTATATATGGGTCTGTGTATTCTTTAGATAAATATTCAATCTTTATCACTATTAAAAATAAAGGAACCATAAAATAATGTCAGACATTAAGAACCACTGGGACCTGTTTAGTCTAATTGAATCTCTGCTCAACATATGTTGGCTCAAATATTTTTATTCAACTGAACATATTCTATGTAGTTATTTATACATTTCAGGCCAACGACTAATGAATACCCAGACTTTGAGTGCAAATAGTCAACTCGGATAGCCCACTGGCTGGAGGAGTGTGGCCAACCTGCTCATGCAGCCAGATGTATGAACCATACTGCCAAGTCTGGGAATAACTTCACTGGGCAAAGATACAATCACGTAATTTTTTTTTCAGGAGAGAAAACCAGCTTATTTTAATCACTATGATATCTGAGAAAGCCATATCAGCAACAAATACACTGAGGCATCTATGATAAATAAATTAGCAGACTGCAAGCCACCAGTGCTTGCAAAGCAAAGGACGAAACAATCAAAAAATGCACGTTAAATTGAAGATACGGTAGTTGAGTGGCAGGTAGGAAAACAATATTCAAAGTGGGTTGTTCAATAGTGTTAAATAATGATATGCATTTCTCAAACTATTTCTATTACTTTGCAACTATTTTATACCAGAGCTTCAAATAAAAACATGAGCTTGATTTTCTTCAAAGAAGACACAGTCCTTCATTAGATGGTCCATGCAGCCTGGAAGTTGCCTGCGTTGAGTTTACTATTGGAAAGAAAACAAAAATCCCACATACATGCACTCTACACTAGTAGACCTGCATTTGTTTCCACATTGCACATGGCGCCTGGGCCTGGGGACGTCTGCGTGGATCCTTCTGGAACTCTCGTTTTGGTGTGGATTTTGGACTAAGGGATGCTTCTCGGGAAGATGCTCTGGGCAGTGATCTTTGTAATAAGAGAGAGTCCGATGGAGCTTGAGAGGCCATGCATGTTCCAAAGGCCTGGCAGGAACACTCACAGAGGAGTGTCAAACTCTTTTCCCGGGCGCTCTCCTTCCAGTTCCTCACTGGAGGGAGACCTGTGGTTCAGTTTTCCAGCATCAGAGGCCAGGGAGGAAGGGGCAGAGCTGTGATTGCTGTCCTCACTGATCTTCCCTTTCATGGCGTCCTGTACGAACTCCAGAATCTCCAGGGGCAGTCTTTTGAACTTGTCTTGGTACTCTTGCTCCAGCTCCACCTGCAGCTGGGAGACATCAAGAGGGAAGGGTGATGTTACATCATTCAGGTTTCTATAACCACCCATGTAGAAACTTCTTGAATGACATGTGCAAAGGTGGGGGAGGGATATATTAATTTTAATATCATCCAGAGGTTACCTATTGAAAAGATATAAAACAGAGTTTAGCTCAACATGCCATTTTTCCATAGCTGAAAGTCAAGTTCAGGTTATGTGTGGCAGAATAGGGCTACCTGCAGTGATATAAATACACACACACACACACACACACACACACACACACACACACACACGGATGAATCTTTTGAAAAAGTTTAGAGAAGTAGCCCAGCCAGCATGGCTCAGTGGTTGAGCATCGACCTATGAACCAGGAGGTCACGGTTCAATTTTTGTTCAGGGCACATGCCTGGGCTGCGGGCTCAATTCCCTGTAGGGGGAGTGCAGGAGGCAGCCAATGGATGATTCTCTCTCATCATTGATGTTTCTATCTCTCCCTCTCCCTTCCTCTCTGGAATATATATATATATATATATATATATATATATATATATTAATAAACAATGATCTGAAGTTCTTAAATGTAGAGGTTGGAATCTACTGATAGCTGGGAGTGCCAAGGTCAGCCATGAATCGAGCTGGGAAGAATAATGAAGAATCGGACTACAACGGAGAGAGGATCAAGGTGAGGGCTTTAAGAAGCGTGTCCTCACTCAGAGGCTGGGAAGCCGAGCTTGTAAAGAGGAGCTGGATGCATTTTTACACACAAAACATATTCCTGTAACCTACTTTAACTTCTATTTTGACTTCTTTTATCTTATCTTCATTTTATTCCTTTTCAACCTAATTTCTATTTGCCTCATAAACTGTTTTAGCTACCATGTAAACTGTCTTTTAATTTATCTGTTTAATGCTCAGGAGGCTTTTCAGACTTTTAAAAGTCACAGAACACTTTCTTTAAATGCAGTCTTACACGTGGCCCTAGTCATAAAGCAAGCAAAAGCCGGTCTTCAGAGAAGTGAGGTGAAGGGCAGGGCCAGACTGGGTGTCACTCTGCACAGCAGAGCCAAATCTAAACCCAGACTGTTAAATAAAATTCTTGTTGCTTATCGAATGGTAAGTGGGGGACCATAATCTTAGAAATGACGTGTAAGACTAAGTGCTTTTTTTCTTCTGAGGAGCCATGAAGCAGCTTTTCTTAAGATGTGTCCTTGAAACCTTTAAGGAACTTATTTTCCTGCTTCTCAAACGTTAAGGTGCACCCAAATCACCTGGGGTCTTAATTTTTTATTCTGATTCAGGAGATCTGGGTGGGGCCCAAAATCTTGCATTTCTCAGGGCTCCCGGGTGATGTCAATGCTGCTGGTTCTCACTGGACACTCTGATTATCTTTCTGTCTAAGCTCCCAGTTTTACTTTTTGTCTTGATCCTGGCTGCATGTCCTTCATCTGCAGCTTCAGTGCAGCCCCTAGGCCCCTGACCCCTGACCCCTGACCCCTAGGGTGAAGACAGTGCTCAGGGCATCTGCCCTTGGTGTCTTGATTGCCTTTATTCATTCCATTTTGGATGGTGCCTGCAGCTTGAGAACATCCTCTAGTTCAACTCCTTTATACTCTTGCTTCTATGCCAGGGAAGTTTTGCCAAAGCTCAGTTATGTCATATAGATTCATAATCCCTTATCTGCAATTCTAAAATCCCCAAAGTCCAAAAATCCAGAAGTTTGTCTTTTTTTTTGGTAAATTTATAGCAAACTCATTGACATTAACTGATATAGGGCTATTTGTAATCCTTAATTATCCCACTTTATGTGAATATTCATGCATGGTACTGTAGATACAATCTGTTTGATTATGAAGGTGACCCAGAACTCCCTGAAATATTATGCCTATGGTATATGTATCATATCACCTTTCTAAAAATCATAAAATTTATGTATTCTGAAATATAACGGGCATTAAGAGTTTCAGATAATGGATTGTGAATCTATTTGAATAACTTTTTTTCCAAAAATGACTGATAAAAATAACTTGACCAGAGTATTTAAAATCACCTACTCTTCCCAAGTAAAAAAATGAGGGGCATTAATATGTTGTGCTAGAATCTGAATTCTAATAGCCAAGGTGGAAACATACTGTGAGAAGAGTATCTGCCAAAGAAAGTCAGGGGTGGGTGGGTGGGAAGAGATTAACCAAAGAATTTACATGCTTATGCATAAACCCTGGACACACACAATAGGGTGGTGAAAGGCCTGGGGTGGTGGGAGAAATAGGGGACATCTGTAATACTTTCAACAATAAAGATAAATTTTTTTTTAAAAAAGGGTATCCCCAGGGCCCTGAGAGTCACATTGCTGAGATGAGCAAAGGCACCTTCATACACATCCCCACCCTCAGTGTCAGGGTCAGGGGAAGCCCAGGATCTTCACGTACAGGAAGAGGATGGCCAATTCTCTCCCAGGTACCCAACCATTTAGAAGAAGGTCAAGCTTTTACATTGTCACACTCTTTTGTGTGAATAAGATCTCAGCCTGGTGTTTGGCAGTTTCCATTTACTACTATCCCGACTTCATCGTCATTTCACCTCAATTTTAATTCAGTAACATGTACCTTTAAAATTTCATTTCCAAAAAATGTAAGGAAAGGGAGAAAAGCATGGAGCTCTGGGTTCAGGGAACAGCAGATTTCTGTTTTCACTTGGATTAGACTGGGGGACCTTCACCTATAGATATATTCTACCTGACCTAGAAGTCAATTCCTCTTAGGTCATTGATTTATATAAAAAATGAAACATGGAATGTGAGAAAATTACACATACTTAAATTAACATTTTCTAATAACTTTTTAATACTATAATTCTGTTCATTACAGTTCTGCACCCAATTTCAATGTGTGGGTTTTTCCTCCACACCACCAAGCAATTCTCTATGACTCCAGCGGGATGTCCTACAATTGAACTCTATTCTGACACTATCTACCTGGCGGTAGCATTAGATTCCACAGTTTAAGGGTTCAGTCCTACAGGACTGCCCTCCACCCCCACCAATTGGGAAGTCTCATTTGTCACTTGTGCTTCTGCCCGACTGGCTATAGTTAGGAGTTCCATTAATTTGCTAGAGCAGTTCACAGAACCCAGAGAAACATTTTTATTTACCAGATCACTGGTTTATTATAAAAGGATATAACTCAGGAGCAGCCAGATGAAAGAGATGCATAGAGCAAAGTATGGGGAAGGTGAGGTTTTTACGGAGCTGTCATTACATAGGCACTATTGATTACATTATTGGCCATTGGCATTTTTTTAAAAACGAGAATGAGATTTTATTAGTAAAATAAGAACAATACAGAATATTCTTAATATCTGTGTTAGGGTTCTCTAGAGAAACAGAACCAATAGCATATATATATATAAACTGATTGGATAAAGCTTACCTACATTATGGAGGGGGAATCTGCTTTACTCAAAGTTTTCTGATTTAAATGTTAATCTCATCCAAAAAGTATGCCTTTATAGAAACATCAAGAATAATGTTTGATTACTAAATATCTGGGTACTGTGGCCTAGCCAAGTTGGCATATAAAACTAACCATCACAATAAGCTAGCAAAATCTTGGACTATTTGATGAATTACTACTCTATTGAATATACTTTACAAAATGCTTCCTGGTGCAGCCCTCTGTGCTAGAAATAATTATAGTTCAGTGATGTCGCGTTCAACAAAAGCATTGTGGTTATTTCCTTTTCAGAGACATCAGATATAGGCTTTGATTACTGAAAGCATGAACCCACTGTCTAAAGCTGAATTGATTTTTTTTAACTTGCTGACTTTTATTTTTATTTTCAATTACAGATGATATTCAATATTATTTTATTAATTTCAGGTGTACAGCATAGTGGTTAGATGATTATATAACTTACAAAGTGATCCCCTTCTGATAATCCTAGTACCCACCTGGCACCATACATAGTTATTACGATATTATTGACTATATTCCCTATGCTGTACTTTATATCCCCATAACTATTTTGTCACTACCAATTTGGTATTTCTTAATTCCTGCTCCTTTTTCACCCAGCCCTCCCAACTTCCTCCCTCTGGCAACCAACAGTTTATTCTCTGTATCTATCAGTCTTTTTCTGTTTTGTTTGTTTGTTTATTTTGTTCTTTATTTCCACATATAAGTGAAATAGGATGGTATTTATCTTTTTGTGACTTATTTATTTAGTTAAAGCCACAGTGAGATACCACCTCACACCTGTCAGAATGGCTATCATCAATAAATCAACAAATAACAAGTGCTGGCAAGGATGTGAAGAAAAGGGACCCCTCGTGCACCATTGGTGGCATTGCAAATTGATGCAGTCACTATGGAAAACAGTATGGAGGTCCTTCAAAAAATTAAAAATAGAACTCCTTATGACCCAGCAATTTCACTTCTGGGTATATGTCTGGAAAAACCTGAAACACCAATTCCAAAGAATATATGCACCCCTATGTTCATTGCAGCATTATTTACAATAGCCAAATATGGCAGCAACCAAATGCCCACCAATAGAAAATTGGATAAAGAAGGTGGGGTACAGATATATAATGGAACATTACTTGGCCATAAAAAGGAATGAACCTTAACATTTGCAACAACATGGATGGACCTAGAGTGTATTATGCTAAGTGAAATAAGCCATTGGCTCTTGAACAAAACCTCCAGGCCTTCTCCTCTCCCAGAAGGTCTGAATGTGGGACTTAAAATTCCAACCCTCTCATCATGTGGTTGGGTCCCATGGCAACCAGACAACCCCCATGGCTAGTGCTTTACAATAGTCACCTCATTAACATAACAAAAGACACTTTAATCTTGATCATCACTTATGAAATCCCAAGGGTTTTAGGAGGAGTTTTATACCAGGAACTTGGAAAAAGAGCAAATATATATTCCTTATTATAAAGAACAGTATCAAAATAATAATAATAATTTAATTTTAGTAATTATTTTAAATAATTTTTTATAACT